CTTGAAAGGTTACAGATGGATATTTTGGGACCTCTTCCACTTACTATTTCACTATTATAAATAGATATTTATTGGTAATAGTAGATTGTTTTTCAAAATGGGTCGAGGCTTTTCCAATAAAAAACATAAGAGCCAAAACTGTTGCAGGGACATTTGTTAGGCAGTTTGTTTCAAGGTATGGTATACCTTTAAAGGTTCATACGGATCAAGGGAGAAATTTCGAATCCAGAGTATTTCAAGAAATAATGCAATTATTAGGCATTAAGAAGACGCGGACGACTGCTTTGCATCCACAATCTGATGGTCAGGTGGAACATCAACATCGTACGATTAGTGATTATTTATCAAAATTCATTTCAGAAAATCAAAGAGACTGGGATCATTGGGTTCCGATGTTTTTATTAGCGTATCATTCTTCGATACATGAATCCACTGGTTTTTCATTTTCGGAAGTGTTTCTGGGTAGGGACCTCAGACTACCTTTGGATTTATTACAAGGCACTTCTCCTAAAGAGAAAGTTTCATTAAGCAAATATTGTATGTGTCTTCATGAAAAATTGTCAAAGATTCATGAGAAGGTTAGTTTGAATTTGAATATTAAGTCAATTAGATCAAAAGTTCGTAATGACAGGAAAACAAGGGAAGTACATTTTGAGAATGGTAGTAAAATATGGCTTTATAATCCACGCAGAAAATTAGATAAGGCTCCTAAATTGCAGAGTCATTGGGAAGGGCCTTATGAGGTTATTAAGAAATTAAGCGATGTTGTTTATTGAATTCGTAGATCGATCAGACATAAAAATAAGATAGTTCATGCAGATAGGTTAGCTTTCTTTTGTAAAAAACAGAATTAGTTAAGAAAATTTCGAACTTGTATTTTAGTTTAGAAGGAACGGAAATTTTGCGTTCTGTGTTTTTTTTTGTTTTAGTGGCTCGTTTTCAAAGGAATAATGTCTGAGGAATTGGATTAGAAAAGAAAAGGAAAGAAGACCACCTTCCCTGTGGTTTTTGATTGTGATTTCTCCACAGGGCTGATGTTTAATTAGGGCATATGCCAAGGTGGGAACTTGGGTTGCTCTCTGTTGAGAGTGTTGGGTCCACAAAAGTTACCCCACCCTTGTTCGAAGACTGGGCACTTCGGCGGAAGAAGTCTTATGGTGAAAGAATTCCAGATGCTGGGTTAAATGGGACGTTTTGGAAGACAGAGAAACCAAAGAAACGTACGGTTTATCTATCTAAAAGAAGTGTTTAAAAAAAAAATAAAAAAGAAAAAAGAAGGATCCATAAAGTTCATAGACCCAAAGCAGCAGTGGAGGGTGGAACAGGAAGATGGAAGCCTTCAGTTTGAGAAATTTCCCCCCCGTAAATTGTCGGGACGACAATTTTAGAAAAAGGGGGAGGCAATGTTGCATCTGGGATATTTGTCCACGACGTCGTCCGTTGCTGTTTTCGGTCTTGGTTCTAATTGAAGTGCGCTGCTCTGTTCGTGACTACGTTTCAGTAGTTTTGTGCTAACGTCATATTATTTTGAGCTAACGTCATGTTATTGATCTTGAAAATAATTTGAGTTCGCAATGAGATCTTGAAGTGATAAGACGTGTGAAAGATCTGGTTGCCTCTGAATCAAACTCGGTTATAATTATATTTGAGTTTCCATTAAAATAGTTCTCGTTCTCCTTTAAAGGTGTTATTTATTTATTCCTCTCTATAAGTGACAGTTTTGTGTGAATTTAACTCAAGAGAATAACAATATACAGGGTGTTGGGAAAGTACCGGGACGCCCGAATATCAGGAAAAATATAAGTTTTACAAAAAAATGTTTCAGACAAAAGTTGTGGCGTTTAAAAAGATGTATTTACTGATCACATCAGTTTGACCTTGGGTTGCGTAGCGAAGGTCAGGTCAAGGTCACATTAATTTTTTTAAATGGAACACCCCATTTTTCATTGCATATTCTTATAGCACATCTCGAGA